ATCCCCGCCTTTATCTCTACACGGGTTTATATGGGTATTTCTGTATACGTCCATTATTTAATATGTATGATCCATTTTCGGTCTAAATGAAACGAATTTGAACGAATACTCATTTATACCTGATCTACTGCCATATCTACTGCCACCCATACGTTNAAAACACGGATATATATAAAATAACGGCTAGGGCGGGGTGGGGGTAAATGTCAGTCCATCCCCGCCTTTATCTTTACACGGGTTTATATGGGTATTTCTGTATACGTCCATTATTTAATATGTATGATCCATTTTCAGTCCAAACGAAACGAATTTGAACGAATACTCATTTATACTTGATTTACTGCCATATCTACTGCCACCCATACGTTTTTTACTAAAAAAAATAAAAACCACCTAACTATCAGAATCCCACATTGAAACAAAATGGAGGGCCAAGTGCTTTTTCTTTTGTTACCATAAATGAATTTCAACTGCAAGGAAATAGATGGCTGGATATCACATGGCAGTCCCTTTCACTTTTGCCATAGGGTAAGTGTTCCAGTAATTGTTTGAGAAATAACTTACAGTGAAAAATAATCACACAAATATCTCTCTCTCTCTCTCTCTGCGTGTGCGCGAAAATATGGTGACATATGGCGAGAGAGAATTTACATTCTATACTCCATACATGAACCATGAGATTAGAACAATATCTAAGATATCACAAAAGCTAATTTGAAGAGTAAAAAAGAAGAAATATCAGCTCCAAGCCTCCAACATATATGTTGAGAAGGGAATGGAGGTCCTCTCAACTTCTTCTCTTCTAATCAGTACAAGGAATGTTAAAGGCTTGTATGCAATTAGGTCCATAAGTCCCATTCACCCCAGCAAAAATCATTTTCAGAAGTCCTTTTCCTCTCTCTCTCCACTAATCACTAAGGGAGTCTGATGAACCTAATGAGTGATTTCCCTATTTAGCCTTCTTTTTTATCTTGTTATATACAACCCACCAACAACGAGATACACACAGATCAATACAACTGAGAGATATAGAACTAAGATAATCTGGTATACCTTCAAGACAAGATATTAAGTTTGTTGATCTTATAGGTTAAGGTTGGTTGGTTTCAACTCTTTTCTATTTTCTGCTACTCTTCTGTGCAGATTTGTAGGCAACCAGAGAAAGAAAGCAAAGGCAGAAACTTGTCATCAATTATCACCACCTTTTTGTTTCCTCACCAGTTTAGTGAGCTCAAAAAATTGATACACCATCTGAAACCTGTTTTCAGTCTTCATCTCCTTTTTTGCTTAGAATGGCTGTTAGAAATTCTTAGTTTTTTTTTCATCTGTTACTTTCTCATACCAGTGATGTTGAATTTTTTAGCTATAAAGTATTATATGTTGCTATTTTTGTGCTAGATTCAGCTGCTGCCATGGAGTTCCCAAATCAATCAAGGGAGATCTCTGGATTCTCTCCTGGAAGAAAATTGGGTAGGGGAAAGATCGAGATCAAGAGGATCGAAAACACGACGAATCGTCAGGTCACCTTCTGTAAGCGCCGCAATGGATTGCTCAAGAAGGCCTATGAATTATCTGTTCTCTGTGATGCTGAAGTTGCTCTTATTGTCTTCTCTACTCGTGGTCGACTTTACGAGTATTCCAACAACAGGTATACTCATAATCTCTCTAGATCTTAACTTTTGAATTCTTCACCTTATTTTCTTAAACCTTTTTACATCTTCTATGTGTTTGTTTTCTTCGGTTCTTCCACTTTAAGGCCTTTCTTTGTTCTCTTTCTTTCAGCGATAATAGAAACTTTCAAGCTTTTTTTCTTGGTAAATTGTCTATTTCTAAAACGAGTATTAAAAATTTGGTTTGATTGATATGTTCCTGTTTGTTTAGTTGAACTTGCTCTATAGAATATTGGTTAGATTTAAGCTCAATGACACAATCATGTGTTTTGTGCAGTGAATATTTGAGTTAGCTCCAACAAAGATTCACTTGTCTTTCTTTTTCCTGTTTTGTTTTTTTTCCCTCAATGGGTTTTTCTTTTTATGATCTATATTTGCTTCATAGTTTGGTAGATACATAGATCTGTTGTAAAACATAGAAATGGAAGCATTCTGGTAATTGTAAGCAACAAGTAGAGATTTGGGAAGATATGCAGAACCGTGAGATCAGCCTCCCATACCTTCCTCCATTGCTGTTTATTTTGCCTGTTTCCTCTCTCTCTCTACATGTCATCTGTAGGCCAAGAAGGCCTACAAAGAAAGCTGTCAATCTCTCATTTGCTTACTTCCTCCATCTCTTGACCCTTCCTTAATAGCATGTCTGAACTTGATAAAGCAGACAAAAGAACTCTGAGAAAGTTGTCATCAGCCCCCATCAAGAAAGCATAAATTAGGGTTTCAAAACCTCAAATATGTTTTCCTCTTCAAATATATAAAAACCTTTAACAACCAATTAATCGTCAAATTAGGGTTGAACATATTTCTCTTTCTTTCAAATGGATTTCATTCAGTACACTACAGGTATAGCACTCTTTTCCAGTAAAACCTAATCAAATTAGGGTTTGTTTGTAACAAAGCTAAATTGGGTTTTTCTTAGATTAGTACAAGATCGCAGTCCAAAACATAGACCAATCAAACCCCAGTTTAGGTTTGACAAGGGTTTATTTACATATATGTGTATATCTGTTTTCTTCCTTTAGGACATTTAGTCTAGACTGCCTAGTCTAGTTAGAATTGAAGACCAGTTTAGGTGGGTGTAGTTTTGTTTCGCTTTGTTTCGGTTACAAGAATCTTTGGTCACGTCACTACAAGATTTTTCATCTTTTGACTTCTGACACAAGAGGCCCATGTGTCATGATACGTAGACTTGAATCTCTCTCTGTNTTACAAGAATCTTTGGTCACGTCACTACAAGATTTTTCATCTTTTGACTTCTGACACAAGAGGCCCATGTGTCATGATACGTAGACTTGAATCTCTCTCTGTCTCTCCCTCTTTTCTTCACTATGAACCCTAATTTTGTTTTAAATGGTGAACACACTCTTGGGCTTTTTTCTTTACTTAAAAAAAGATGTTCTTTTCTTTGTGTCTTTGACTTAAGGGTTTTACATAGCTTCTGAAACAGTTCAAACTGAAGCAGCAAAGAAACAGAAGTGAGGGTGAGAGATGAACCAAGGGGACTGGTTCACCTCTACTTTGGTTCATCAATTCTGTCCTGTAATCGTCACCTCATAGTTTCTCATTAGAGAATTGGGGCAACATTTTTTTTTATTTGTAGATCTTGCATAGTCAGCTAAGATATACTTCTGCAAGTCAATAATGCCTGCCTTTGTTCAGAAGGGGTTGTTTGTGTGTATGTGTGTGTGTGTGTGNTCAGCTAAGATATACTTCTGCAAGTCAATAATGCCTGCCTTTGTTCAGAAGGGGTTGTTTGTGTGTATGTGTGTGTGTGTGTGAGAGAGAGAGAGAGAGAGAGCTGAGAACCAATGGGATAGTTCTGCGCATTTGGCTTCTGTCATGCATGGGAAGTGTACAACTATGGCTGCTCAAATGGACGGCTCTGATGTACTCAGAGCTCCAGACAGATAGACTGAGAATTTACACTTTCTACCTTTAAAAATTAAATTTTTTTTTTTTTATACTCTCATGCTCCGTTAGATAATAAAGATGAAAAATAAGAGGGATACAAAATAAGAAGAATATATTTTTTACCCTTCAAAAAAAGAAAGTAAGAATAATACATTTTCCTTCTTTTGTGTTTGATAGAAATAGGATGGATGAAAAATAAATATGATTAATTTTTTTTTTTGCTTGATAAGAATAAGGTAACAATCGAGCCGTGTCGTTTCAGGTTCATGTCGAGTTATTTAAGGTTCGTGTCAAACATAATTTAATTCATTTATCTAATCGTGTCATGTTGAGTTGACCTATTTATTTTTCTATTTCATATTCCTATTCGTATTGACCCACATAAATTTTGAATAAAAAATTTAACGTTAATATTCTATTTTCATTTAATTGAATTTATGTTCACACTTTTTTTACAAACTAAAAATTAACTTAAATAAATATAAAATAATAAGTTAAAACATTTTTTTTATATAATAATTATTTTGGTGCTTAATAAATAGTTACAAATAATTAATATTTTATGTCTGTAATAGTAGTTAAACGTGTTAATTTTGTGTTACCATACAAACGAGAAAATAGAGAGTGTTTATTCTTAAATAAACGAGTAGATGATGTCAATTTGGGGTTTGACGGGTTGAATTAAATATGAGTCGTTTATATTTCGTGTTTGTGCGTTAGGTCATTTTCGACTTCGTGTTAAATTATAATCAAATTCGTGTCATAAAATTCATGGAATTCGAGTCATGTCATCATGTTAAGTCAAAAATTTTCACTCCTAGCTAAGATGGAAAAAATATTTTTTTTATTTAAAATATTTAATTTTTAGTTTTTAATTTTAATTTTTTAATTTTTTAATTAATTTTTTTTTAAAAAAATATAAATACATATTTTATCATTGTATTTATATATGAAATTAATGTACGCATAATATATGTATATATGTATTTTAATATATAGATAAATAAGATACATTGTAACATAAATAATTAACTTTTTATCAACTTTCCTTCCGATTTTGGATGATTAATTTTGATGAGTTGAAAGGAATGATCATCAATCAACTTTTTCATCTGTTTTATTTTCTTTTTTTACCAAACATGATGTTTTATTTATCCCTTAAACTTTTTATCCTTCAAACTTTTCATTCTACAATTTTTCAATCATATCAAACAGAGCATCAATATATTAAAAGTATTGCAATGTATTTTTTTTGTTAATTTTTGTTGTTTATTTTGTCAAAAATCACCTTATTGACGTTGATTAAATGAACAACGAAAACTAATGGAAGAGCCACACTGAAATACTTTTAATAAATTAAGTATATAATGTGAAAAATTTAATTTTTGAGGATGTAAAGTAGAAATTCTTAAACCTTTTGGTGCACAAAGTGTAATTCAGCCAATCATATTAAATAACTTGATTTTTATTTGAATTATTAGTTTTTGTATTTACCTAGGTGGGTAAAAGAGTGTGGTTAATAGGATTATTCATGGTGTAATGGGTGGGTGACACGTGGCAAGTCCCTGAGCATCCGCCAATCATATTGTGGGTGCTTGAGCCAGCTTGGCAGAGACAGCCTATCAGTGCTCGACGAAATTAAGGTTACAGTAGCGCAGGAGCAGTTGTTCTCCACTGTTTATGATACTATGTTACATCATGTCCAAGTAAGATTTGTGACTGACTGAGTGAGTCCGACTGAAAGAACACTTTCAGATTTTCCATCACTTTTTTTTTTCTACACCATTCAAGCTACCGAAAAATCCTATTTTTTCTATTAATTTAAATGTAGCCATTACACGTAAAGCTAATAATAGATAAATAATGAAATAAACTAATTTTATGCGTGTTATATTTTCATTAGACAAAAAAAAAAAAATCTATTTTCACCATTTGGATAAAAATATATTTTTGTTGGTCAAATTGATCTTATATTGATGAATGTAAATTTGTAGGACTTAGCGAATCGAAAATATTGTTTGATTATGATATAGAGATTATGAGTTTGAGTCACAAAAATAGTGTTTTTGATTATTAGAATAAGATTATGTACATCTGACCTTCCCCAACTCTCGTAACGACGAGAGTTTCGTGTACTGAATTTGTTCTTACTTACCAATGTAAATAGGTGTTAACTTATCTATGCATCTGATTATTTCCTAACTGAAATACATAAATAATTATTCATGTTGTGCATAGTTCATTCTAGGCAGATTGCTATGAACTATAAAGTTAGGAATTATTTGATTGTATTTCTAAATATTTTATTTTATGTTTATTTTAAATATCATTAGTTTTCTGTTTTGATATTTTAATTTCTCCTTGTCGGGTCTTATCTCTTATCTAGTCTTAAATGTCTATATAATAAGTAGAATACATACGCAAATGTCAGTGAATTACATATATTTTAAGATGATTTCTAAGATGCTTTTAGATTACATTTAAAAAAAGTAATCATACCTTTTTTTTAATGAAATTATAAGTTTCTTTAGAAAAGCATCTAAAAATGTTATTATTCTATTTTTGTGATAATTAAGTATAGGCCTTGAGCCGGTAGTTCCCACAAAATACTTACTCATTGACATAGATAATAGAGGACTACACAAAAATAAAACAAAAGATAGGCTGCACATTAACCTATACAAGTATAGGGGAGAAGCCATTGTTGGACCACTTGCAAATTATGAGCAGTCCTCTTAAACTTAGCAGACATGAGTCTCTCTCTAATAGTTTGCTGAATGAGCTGGGTTAGGGAGTTGGTGTCCCTAAATTGGTTGCTAAACAAGCTGTTGTCCCTCTCCCTCCATGGAAAGTAGACAGTAGTCGACAAACTAAATCTACTAATGATTTGCTGGAGATTAGTGTAAATCATACTTGGCCAGTTCCATTGATTGCCACTTATGATTCAAATCACTTTAGAATCATTTCGAAGCTCAGGGATTAGAGAAACCAATGAGTTTCTTAGAGCAGGGGGACCAAATGGGTGCCAATTATCATGCCATAAGCTGGTTCCTTCCCCATTCCCATTCTGGGAATTAGATTGAGATGCTTTTATCCTC